CATATCATGTTTAATTCGAATATTTTAAACAGATGTATGTGTGTGTATGTCTGTCTGTATCTGTGTGTGTGTGTGTGTGTGCGTGTGTGTGTCTGTATTATTGGAATTTTTTTTTTACGAATATTTGATAAGAATTTTAAAATTTTAAGCATTTATAAATGTTTAAAAAATAATTTTTTATCTTTTTATGGTACAAATTAAAAGTGTAATTTTTGCATAAATTTAATTAATTTTTAAATGAATAATTTCCTCAATTTCATTATTTATTTCAATATTGATATCAAAAAAAAAAAAAAGAATGAAAATAACAGGCAGACATAGTTAGTATGACATTTGCGCCCAATGTAAATTTAATTTCAAATATAGCATATTTTTTTGATGGATATCCAATCATGATCTATAATTAACCATAAGTTATTTCTCTCCTTGTGATTAATTTTAATTTCCTTTTTTTTTTTTGGTTCCTTATCTTTTCTCATACCAATCTTATCATCTTAATGAATAGGATTGATAAATCGAGAGAAGGAAAAATTCAAATTTTAATAAATCAAAGAGAGGAGGGAAAAAATCGACTGATTAGGATCTCAAGTTAAGTTAGGTTTAAGTTAAGTTTAAATCAAATTATGTTTAAATTAAAATCAAGTTAACATAAGTAATGTTCATATTACTGATTGATAATATTGTGATGATTATGATAATAAGTTAACACTGTATATAACAACAATTTAAATCAATTTAACAATTTTGTTGACAAAAGTATTGTTCATATTATTGATTGATAAATATTGCGATGATTATGATAATGGTAATGATAATAAGTTAACATGGTTTATGTTAATGTTTTAAGCTAATTACCATTTATTACTAGAAATAAGTATATTTTCTTTTTCGATTTTTTTTCTTTTACTCGTTTGATTTTAATCTTATTTACTTTATAAATGAAAAAAAAAAAAATTTTGGATAAAAATTAAGAAATGAATGAAAATTTCAAAAAGTTTAAAATGAAAGAACATCTAATAATGTATGAAATACATTTAATTTTATAATTAATAATTGACAGTATACATGGATATTGTACTGATATATTATGATAATTATGATAATAGTAAATGATAATAATATTTTGTTGAAGTTGCATCTGTTATGCAGATTGCGCGCATCGTAAAATATTATTAGGATCATATAGGAGGGTTATTTTCTTCTAATCTTTTTGATAAATAAGGCACACATCTGTGATACAGATACAGATTTAACTAGGTCTTTTTTTT